TAGGGTTTAGGGTTTGGGGGTGTTGTGGTTTATAGAGTTCAAGAGTTTAGGGACCACACTGCTGTGCATGAAGGCGAGGGTTCAGGGACCTTCAAACCTCCTGCGTGCTCCCAAACCCCCAACCCCTGGACCTTGAACAGCTTAGATCTGGGGACCTTACCAACCAGACTAGGGCTCTTTGCGGGGTTGGGGGGGGTGTAGTGTTGCAAGCATATTATAATCAGGAGGCACAAGCTATGGTATCAACAAGTCTTCCGGTCGCCAGCGGACCTTACACTATGCTTACAAGTAGAAGTGCAGCTAGGTAATACCTGAACCCTAAATAACCCAGCTTCTTAGAGCTCCTTCTTATTCTGAGTTCCTTCTGTAAGTCCTTCAATCGGTAAGTTCCTTTAGGGTCCAAGTAGGCTTCTAGGCACCGTCAAACTTCTAGCCCGAGCTCGCATGCCAGGGTTCCATAAAGGCTTCATGGAGTCAGTTTCTGGATCTTGGGGTCTCGGACCCTAAATTAAACTTAGAGCCGAAGCCCCTAAACCCCTAAACCCTAAAACCCCAACCCCCAAACCCTACTGGGGCTTTGGGGTTTGGGGTTTGGGATTTATAGTGTTTAGAGAGAAAGAAACTGAAAAGGGGAACTCCGCAGAATGAGAGTACCAGGGACGGTGCTTTGCCGTAAACCCATAAACCCTAAACCCTAAACTGTAAACCCTAAACCTAAAGTGTAAACCCTACACCCTAAACCCTAAACCCTATAAACCCTAAACCCAAAACCCTACACCCCCTAAACCCACAACCCTAACTCGTCAAGGTCTAGAAATGCAGGAGTTTGTGCCCAACCGAAAGCTCAAAACCCCAAAATTCCTAAACCCACAACCCTGATGCCTGGGGTTTAGGGTTTTGGGTTCTGGGTTTTGGGCTTTGGGTTTAGGGTTTTGGGTTTTGGGTTTTGGGTTTAGGGCAGGGCTTGGGGCTTTTAGTCCCAAACTCGACACCCCAAACTCCTTCCAGAATCTTGCCCCGGATCTCCCGACAGCCTACCAGGCCCTCACGTGAAGCCGTGACCTTCATGGAACCATCCAGCGTCACAGCACGCCAGGCCTGCGCACTTGCGGCGCTTTGGCACTTAGGTTTCAAAGCCTACACACCCTAAACCCTAAACCCTAAACCCTAAACCCTAAACCCTAAACCCTAAACCCTAAACCCTCAACCGTAGACCCTACAGGCGGAGCTTTGATTTTTGGGACTCGGGCCGGGGATGCAAAGTTCGGGAGGCATCGTGTTGTACACCCCAAACCATGTAGACCCCAAACCCTGGGTCCTACGGGCTTAGGGTTTAGGGTTTTAGGGTTTAGGGTCTAGGGTCTAGGGGTTTAGGGTTTAGGGTTTAGGGGTTTTGAAACCCTCAGGCTCAAACCCTAACCCACTCTAAACCCAATGATCGAAACCTTAGACTCCAGCCGGCAGGGTTTAGGATTTAAGGGTATAGGGTTTAGGGTTTAGGGTTTAGGGTTTAGGGTTTAGGGTTTTAGGGGTTTGAGGGCTCAGGGCCGGGCCTCAGGCGTTCGGGGCTCCCTGATATTGGGTTTAGGGTTTAGGGTTTAGGGTTTAGGGGTTAGGGTTTAGGGTTTAGGGTTTAGGGGTTAGGGTTTAGGGTTTAGGGTTTGGGCTCGTATTAAAGTGCAGGGGCTGGAGGTTCTAAATCCTAAGCATATCCTAAGCCATAACCTAAAATCGAAGGTAGCCTTCTACCCACCACGAAGATAGGGCCCTAAAGCCTAACCCGGAACCCCGGGAGGAATAAAGTTTTGAGGTGTATGACACTATAATCGGAACATCTAGGACCCCTATCTTAAACCGCTAACCCCCATCATGAACCTAAACTCGACCTGCACCCCTAAACCCTAAACCCTAAACCCTAAACCCTAAACCCTAAACTAAGCCCTATTGAGGATGGCTCCGGGCACCTGCCTCACCGAAGGAGCCGCGTCCTAGCCGAGGGCCGAAGTTGTATCGCCAGTTGCGCCCAGCCTGGCCAGATCTTCGAAGATCCATTCATGAATGAATACACCTTAAAAAACCCTAAGGCTCTAAGGACTCATATTTTAAGGCTTTTGGGCCCACAGACCAGACCAGAAAAGGCTTTAAACCAGTTTCAGCCTTAGGGTAAATTATATTGGACCCTAACATGACTTAAAGTATATTCCTTAATATGGAAGATCTGAGTCTCACCCATGCGCCTCGCTGTAGAGGTCGTGACGCTGCAGGTGCGACACGGCGTACTCCTCGGCTAGGACTGAAGGGTTTGGGGAACCTCTGAGGGCTCCTTTAAGGGTTTAGGGTTTAGGGGTTAGGGTTTAGGGTTTAGGGTTTAGGGTTTAGGGTTTAGGGTTTAGGGTTTAGGGTGTAAGGGTTCCTTCAAGGGTTAGAGTACTGTAGGGTTTAGGGTGCCTTTGGTAAGGGCTCCTCTAGGGGTTCCTATGAGGGTATTACAGTTTGTCCAGTTTGTCTGCTAAGCATGCTGAAGATCCCTATTGGGTACCACGGTTTAGGGCTTAGGGTTTAGGGTTTTAGGGTTGCGGGCTTGGGGTAGCTTCCCGGATCCTCCAACATCCCGTCATTGAGGCAAACCCTGAAGTCAAAGTGGGATCCCATTCTGATGTAAGGTATGTGGGATATTCGCAGATCTGGGTGTAAAAACTCCTAAGGGTTCACTCAGGGGTACCTATTGCAGGCTCCCTCTAGGGGTTCCTCTCTCAGGGCTCCTAGAAGGTTGCTATTGGTTTAGGGTTTAGGGTTTAGGGTTTAGGGTTTAGGGTTTAGGGTTTAGGGTTTAGCTCTGATGGGCTTCAAGTCCCAGGTGCTTCATCTCGTTTTTCAGAAGCTCTATCGCGAAGTATCCCAGAGGGTCCATACATACTACCATTGTGGAATTAGGTC